CCCGGGGGGGGGGGGAGGGGCGCGGGGCACCAGGGAGCGCTGCCCCTCTCTGCAGGAGGAGGAGCCTCCCCTGCGGCCGAGACTGATGAGAGCTTCATAAGCATCCTGGTCAATCATCATCAGGGCTTGCCACCGGCAGTACCGGTGCGGTGCCCTGCGCCTGCTTTTGATCGGGATACTGGCAGTGCCAACCAGTTTGTGTCAGGTAGGGTAGGACTCTGGGTCCCAGCTGTTGAAAGATGCACCTCTCTGCAGGAGGAGGAGCCTCCCCTGCGGCCGAGACTGATGAGAGCTTCATAAGCATCCTGGTCAATCATCATCAGGGCTTGCCACCGGCAGTACCGGTGCGGTGCCCTGCGCCTGCTTTTGATCGGGATACTGGCAGTGCCAACCAGTTTGTGTCAGGTAGGGTAGGACTCTGGGTCCCAGCTGTTGAAAGATGCATGTGTCCTTGCATCCCCGAGGGGGCGGATCATAGAATCACAGAACGGGAAGGGGCTAGAGCAGTTAAAATCTGGTTATGTTTCTAATCAGGTAGCCGACAGATTTTTTTTTTATTGACTTGATTACAGTAATTCCTCATTTAACAGGTGTCCGCTTAACACATTTTCACGATAGCACGATTTTTTTTTTAGGGAACATTTTTTGAATTACGTGACTGTCCCCAGAATAACACAATTTTCCCAGCTGGCCTGTTGCAGGCGGCTGCACGCAGCTGCACGGGGCTTCCCCCACCACCCTGCAAAGGGGGGGAGGGTTTGCCACTCGCTGTGTCATTCCCCAGCGACTCCTCCTCCCCAGATGCTGTGTAGGTCCCAGCAGACCCGTCCCAGGGGCATACTCCCAACCCAATCCCCCTTCCCTCTCCTCCTCATCCCTTCCCTTCCCCAGAGCCAAATACCTCTCCTCCCTGCCGAAACCCAGTCCCCTTTCTCCCCCAACCTTATGTCCTGGTCCCAACAGACACCACCACTTGAAAGGCAACCTCCACCTTTTCCATTATTTTCAATGGGAAAATTGACCCTGCATAACACATTTTCACTTAACACAATCATTTTCTGAAACATATCTATAGTGTTAAATGAGGAATTACTGTACTCAATAAGGGTAAGTAGTTACAGTGCTCAGTCTGACCCACTCCGGGTCCTAGCATAGCCTCCCTTGCTGCTGCATTGTAAGGGACAGGAGCCAGCATGAAAAACACTGGCTCAGTCTCTGGTCTCTTATCAGTCAGACCAGCGTCTTCCTGCCCCAGCTCCCCTGTCCCTGACAGTGCGGAGTGGCGGGGTCGAGGTTATGCTGACTGATGAGAGACCAGTGTCTTTGCTCACTGGCTCCCCTGCCCCTTAATATTGCAGAACTGCAGTAGTCAATAGTACTAACCGATAAGCTCATAAGGGCACCAGTTTACAAGTACTGTGTGGAGCTTATGGGTTAGTCCACTAGTCATTTACATCCCTAGAAGGGATTAATGACCCTGACAGGAAGTTTTTCCTAATGTCCAGCCTAAACCTCCCTTGCTGCAATTTATGTCCATTGCTTCATTTCCTATTATCAGAGGTCAAGGAGAAGAATTTCTCTCCCTCCTCCCTGTAACACTCTTTTAGGTACTTGAAAATGGATCATTCGATCAGTGATGAGAAAATAAATCAGAGCACCTGGGCCGTTCTTCAGATTTATGGGGCCTTACACAGTACTTTTAAACTGGTGCCCTTATGCCCCACAGAAGCGTGGGGCTGGGGGAAATTATTTTTCAGAAATATGATTTTATAATCTTCAGCAACACGTTAATGAAACAGTTTAAAGAAAATTTTAAACCAAAGCCATGTAGACTAACACAGTAAATTCAGAAACTGACAGCATATACACCTAGGCTACATCTACACGGCCATTTTTGCACAAAAACTCACAGAGCGTCCACACTACAAGCATGTTTTTGCACAAGGAAAAGTATAGTAGATCATCAGAAGACAAGGCTTTTTGCGCAAGAGTTATTCCTCTTTCTGTGAGGAATAAGCTTTTTTGCACGAGAACTCTTGTGCAAAAAGGCATATGTGGATGGACAACAGGAACCCTATTGGAAAAAGCACAGGTACTCTGATGGCCATTCAGTAAATGGCCATCAGAGCTTTCTTGCACAAGAGTGTCCATGGAAACGTGGACGCTCTCTTGCGCAAAAGCACATGGCAGTGTGGACGTGCTCTTGTGCAAGAACTTTTTGCGGAAGATTTCTTCTGCAAAAAGTTCTTGCGCAAGAAGTCTGCAGTGTAGACATAGCCCTAAAGTTGGCATGGCCCTTTCACAGTGTTAATGTTCTGCTAATACAAGGGTGGGAAGTAATTTTTAATGGGGGGGCCACTCCAAGATTTTGGAAAGTGGTCGAGGGCTGCACTCTTCCATGATATTAATGGCGGAGGGGGGTGGGTTGGGATGGGGGTTGGATGCAGAAGGGATCTTGGGGTAAGAGATTAGGGTGCAGGATTAGGGTGGGATCTGGGAGGGAGTTTGGGTGAAGGAGGCAATTGTGACCGTGGGCACTGGATTGGAGTGCAGGGGTTTGGGTTGTAACCTAGGACAGGAGGGGGATGTGACCTGGGGCAGGAGATTAGGGTGTATGTTCTGGGAGGGTGCAAGGGGTTTGGTTATAGGAGTGGGAGGGGCTGGAGTGCCAAAGGCAGGCTCTGGCTGGGAGACTTACCAAGGTGACTCCTGGCCAGCAGCCCAGCACCTTTGTGAGGCAGCCTCCCTGCCTGCCCCACCCCTGCATAGGCTTCAAGGGCCATGTGTGTGTGTGAATAACTATGAGCTTGGAGGCATGAGGGTCTGGTGCTTTGTGTGCTGTCTGTTCTTCAAACAGGCAGCTCCCATTTGCCAGAAACTGGCCAATGGGATTGTGCTGAGGGCAGGAGCAGCTCACGAAGCCTTCCCCCTCTCCCCTCCAAGCTCACAGTGGTGAAAGAGAAATGGCCTGGCGGCCACTTTTCCAAGCAGCATGCGGGTGGGGCAAGACAAGCAGGGAGCCTGCCTGAGGCTCCCTTCTGCCATCCACAGGCTGGCTCTGGTGGCTTGGTGGGCCGGATGCGGCCCATGGGCTGTATTTTGCCCAGCCCTGTGCTGGGAGGTCTGGCACGCTTTGTCACTTGCTATGCTTTTTTTTTTCTTTTTAGATACATGGGGCGGATTTTCAGCCATGCATCAACATTAGAAATTGGACAGACCAATTAGGCTCATCTAGCCCATCTACCTTCCTGGACCGTACTGAAGAGAAGATGATAATTGTGCTTTTCATAAGGGTAATTTACTGCAAGTCATTAAGATACTGGTTTGACAGCCAATGCAAAAGGTGACAACTTTAGTAGGGGCGACTGGTAAAAGGGGACAAGTGGACACAACAGCCACAGCCTGGGGAGGATCCAGGCCTGGGGCCTCAATAGTGTTTCCTCTGAGCTGAGCACTTGAGAAACCACCCAGGACTGATTCGGGTGCTGTCGAGGTGGTTAGCAGTGCACCCACAGCCATCAGAATGTGTTTCTATGGGTGGTACACACCTGCCCATGCCTTGGTGCACATAACAAAATGTATTCTGCATATGGATGGAAAAAATGAGATGGAACACTGGCCCTCAGTGGCATAGAAGACAGCTTTCCCAGGACTGCTCCTCCCTGTGTCCCTGTCTGAAGGTGGGCGGAGGAGGAGGGGGGGGGAAATCAGAGATGCAAGAAGAAAGGGTAGGTTCTCTCTTCCCCTGAGATGGGAAGGGAAGGAACAAGAGGTCCCAGTTTCTCCAGCCGGGGGGAGATGGGTAGAGAGAGGTCCATGCAAACGCCCTAATTTTTTTCATAAACAGTTCTAAACTGGGGCCTGTGCAAAAGGAGACAAGCAGGGGCAAGGCCCCTCCCCCCATATAATTGGCAGTGGATGCAGAAAAAACGGTTACTTACCTGTAACTGTTGTTCTTCGAGATGTGTTGCTCATGTCCCTTCGAATTAGGTGCGCGCGCACCATGTGCACAGCTTCCAGAGCCTTTTTTCTTCAGCGGTATCCATCGGGCCAGCAGGTAGCCCCCTAGAGTGGCACCGACATAATGGTGCATAAGTACGCCTGCTGGCCCTCCTCTCCCTCAGTTCTTTCTTGCTGGATACTCCGACGAAGGGGGACAGGGGTGTCGAATGGACATGAGCAGCACATCTCGAAGAACAACAGTTACAGGTAAGTAACCGTTTTTTCTTTGAGTGATTGCTCATGTGCATTCAAATTAGGTGACTCCCTAGCCAAGCCTCTGGAGGTGGAGTCAGAGAACGTCACTTGCTATTATAAGATCGAGTGCAATGCTACAGCTCCCAGAGCCGCATCCCCTCCAGCCTGCTGAGTGACTGCATAGTGTGCTGTGAGTGTATGAACTGATGACCACGTGGCAGCTCTGCATATGTTCACTATAGGGATCTGCGTGAGGAGTGCAGCCGAAGATGCCTGCACTCTCGTGGAATGTGGGCCATAATGTGGTGCGGCTCCTTTCCTGCCAACTCATAAAATTCCCTAATGCACCAGGAAATCCAGGAAGATAATCTCTGTGCTGACACAGGTAGCCCTCTCATTTTCTCTGCTATAGAATCAAAGAGTTGAGATGACCTCCGAAACGGCCTTGTCCTATCGATGTAAAAGGCCAGCGCTCTCTTTGCATCTAGTGTGTGCAGGGCCCGCTCTCTAGGGGATGCATGAGGTTTTGGAAAGAATACAGGTAGGAAGATACCCTGCGACATAAGGTAGACACCCCCTTAGGGAGGAAGGCCGGAGGAGGGAGCAGCCTTACCCTGTCTGTGGAGAACACCATGTATGAAGGGTCTATCCTCAGAGCCCTGAGTTCCGGAACCCTTCTTGCTGATGGAATGGCCACAATAAAAGCCACTTTGAAAGAGAGATGTCTGAGAGCACGTGCCTAATGGTTCAGATGGCGGGGACGTGAAGCTAGTAAGCACCAGGTTAAGGATCCATTGGGGTACTGGGACTCGAATGTGTGGAAATAGCCTGTCCTTTCCTTTAAGAAACCTCTTAACCATGTGATTCGCAAACACCGACCTTCCCCCCTCTCCAGGGTGGAAGGCCGTTATAGCCGCCAGGTGAACCCTCAGGGAGGAAGTGGAAAGCCCTGATGCAACTGCAAAAGATAGTCAAGCACCATCGGGATAGGAGCTCTAAGGGGCTCCACCACTTTTTCCCAGGATCATTCAGGAAAATGTTTCCATTTAGCCGAGTAGGCGGCTCTAGTAGCCAGCTTCCTGTTCCCTAGCAGGACTGCCCTTACTGCGTCCGAGCATGTGTGCTCTGCCGCTGTTAACCACGGATGTACCACATGGTCAGGTGGAGGGACTGGATGTTTGGGTGGCAAAGGGGGCCCTCCCCCCCAGTCCTGGGTAATCACGTCTGGGCTCAGTGGCAGGGTCAGGGGGCAGTCCTGGAGTATGTCCAGGAGAATGGGGAACCAGAATTTCCTGGGCCAATCCGGTGCTATCAGCATGACTGAGGCTTTGTGCCATCTCATCCTGATGCGTACCTTGTGAAGGGGGAAACGCGTAGAGGAGTCCCCTGGGCCAATCATTTACCAGGATATCCCCCCGGATCCTGTCCCAGGAATGAATAGTAAAGTGGGCATTCTCTGTTCAAGTGAGTGGCAAATAGAAATAATATTCCAGAGGTGGGGCAGACCTAACACTTCCCCTTTGAGGGACCACTCGTGGGTCACAAAGGAGCGGCTGAGGGTATCTACTAGGACGTTCCTGGTTCCCAGCAGGTAAACTGCTTTCAGGTGAATGCTGTGGAGTATACAAAAATCTCAGAGGAGTAGGGTTTCTCGACAGAGGGGAGAGGAACGAGCCCCACTCTGTTTGTTGATACAGAACATCGCCGCCGTGTTGTCTGTTAACACCAAGACCGTCTTGTTGGTCAGGTGGGACACAAACACCTGGCAGGCTAGGCTGACAGCCTTCAGCTCCCTGACGTTTATGTGGAGTTTGCGCTCCCGGGGAGACCACATACCTTGAGTTTGATGTTCTGCCATGTACACGCCCCAGCCCGTATCCGAGGCATCGGCGACCAGTCTCACCATCGGCTCTTCAGTCACCAAGAGCCTTTGGTCATTGGCCCTTCGGTCCCGCGCACACCACTTCCTCCTGCATCCACCGATGCAGGGATTGGATAATGTTCCTTGGGACTGTGAGGATGGAGTCCCAGGGCCCTCGGGCTTGGTTGAAAGACTGGTCTAACCAAACCTGCTGTGGCCGGAGCCTCATCCTGGCGTGGTGAACTACGTATGTGCATGCTGCCATATGGCCCAACAATCTCATGCAGTTTCTTGCAGTCAGGATAGGAGACAGGTTGAGGCCGTTTATAATGCTGCCCGTGGCCATAAATCTGCCTTTGGGTAGAGAGGCCCTTCCTGTAGCTGAGTTTGTCAGCACCCACAAATTCTATTGATTGAACAGGAATCAACACGGATTTCTCCTCGTTTATCACAAGGCCTAGTTCTCTGAATAATGTTCTTATAAAGGTTATATGTTCCCTCACCTGATCCTTTGACCAGCCCCTGATGATCTAGTCGTCTAGATAAGGGAAAACCTGTATTCTTTGCCTCCTGAGGAAGGCGGCCACCACTGCCATGCACTTGATGAACACCCTGGGTGCTGTCGATAGCCCAAAAGGGAGGACTGAAAACTGAAAGTGCTCATGAACCTGAGGAATCTCCAGTGGGCAGGCCTGATCACAACGTGAAAATAGGCATCCTTTAAATCGAGGGCAGCATACCAGTCCCCCAGTTCCGGGGAAGGAATAAGGGACCATCTTGAACTTTTATCTTTTTCATAAAGGTGTTGAGGTCCTGCAAATCCAAAATAGGTCTGAGGCCTCCCTTCACCTTGGGGATAAGGAAGTAACGGGAGTAGAACCCTTTGTCCCTGAACTCTTGTGGGACCCCTTCTATTGCTCCTTTGTTGAGAAATGAAACACCTCTTGTATTAAAAGAAGCTCGTGAGAGGGGTCTCTGAAGAGGGATGGGGAAAGAGGGTCGGAAGGAGGCAAACAGCAGAAAGGGACAAAGTAACCCATTGATACCAGTTCTAGAAACCACCTGTCAGATGTAATGTGGGCCCACGCAGGGTAAAAATGGGATAACCTGTCCCCAAAAGGGGGATTAAGTTCTGGGACTAGTACAAAGCCCTCGTGCGCATCCTCAAAACGAGGACTTGGGCTGTTGTGGAGGGGGTGGGCCTGCATTTTTTTCTGTGTCGGAGTGCGGTCTTTGTCTCTTATTTCTGCCATTTCCAGCACCCTTGTTATTGTTTCCCACGTTACGTGGTCTGCGACTCGCCTGATCCTGTCTAAAGGGCTGGTAAGGAGGTCTCCCAAAAGATCTCGTGTTAAATGACCTCTTTTGTGTGGCTGGTGTGTGTATCCCTAAGGATCTAAGAGTGGCCCTTGAATCTTTCAGGCGAGGCAACCTCTAATCTGTCTGTTGCGAGAACAGATCCTTGCCTTTGAAGGGCAAGTCCTGAATGGTACTCTGTACCTTTGGTGGTATACCAGAGACCTGCAGCCAGGCACCGCTGTGCATCACCACTCCTGTGGCCATTGTACAGGCTGCTGAATCTACTGTATCGAGTGCAGCCTGCAGTGCCGTTCTGGAGATGGTCTGACCTTCTTCCACCAGGGCAGCGAACTCCTGTCTAGCATCCTGTGGCAAGCGATCCCTAAATTTGTCCATTGCTGACCAGGTGTTGTACACATACCTGCTTAGCATTGCTTGCTGGTTAGCAATGCGTAATTGCAGGCCTCTAGTCCCATACACCTTTTTACCCATTAGGTCCAACCTTTTGGACTCTCTGCTCTTGGGGGTAGGTCCCGGTTGCCCCTGCCTCTCCTTTTGGACTGCTGCCTGCACTACCAGGGAGCTTGGTGTGGGGTGCGAGTACAGGTGCTCATGCCTGGACTGTGGAACAAAATAGCGTGTCTCCATCCCTTTCTGGGTTGGTGGGATAAGCGCTGGAGTCTGCCATAAGTTGATGGTGATTTTAGCTACTGTTTTATTCAGAGGCAGTGCCAGCTTTGCCGGTGCGTCTGCCGAAAGAATGTCCATCATGGGGTCTGTGTCCTCTACCACTGCCTCAGCCTGCACTCCCAATTTGCTGCCAGAGGACGGAGCAGCTCCTGATGTGCACTAGCATCCATCAATGGCATGAGAGGAGCAGGATCTGCTAAGGCCTCATCAGGGGAAGAGGATGACGATTCTCTCTGGGCTGGCTGATCTGTGATCAGCTCCACCAGTTGAGTGCCTGGTTGAGGTCTTGGCTCATCCTGGAAATTGAGGCCTCTGGGTGCAACTGTTGTCTTTGTGGGCTACCCCAGTGCTCCAATATGGGAGCACCTGGCATAGGACCGGCCGATGGGGTCCACCTGGACCATGGGATGCTTGAGCCTTGCAAGGGTGGTATAGAGCCCTACATCTGATGGTAGGCCCAAGGGGTCCAGAAAGGCCACTGTGGCTGCGCTTGGGGAAGCCATGTCTGCTGGGCCTGACTCCCGGTGCTGGGAGTGGTAGCGGTACCACGACGATCTATGAGAGGAGGCACCTGACCGGTCCGATTCAGCGTTGGATTCTGAATAGTAGTCTGACAACAACCAGGGTGGGGATGACGGTGTCGTGTGCCGAGGCCGGTGCTGCTCCATGGATTTGGGCTTTCCCCGGTGCGCTTGCTGAGGCAATCCCATAAGTTGTGATGCCATCAAAGCCGCACCAGTCCCAACAGCTCCCTGCACCATCCAAGCCTGTGCTGCTATGGATCCGTGTCGGCAGGGCTACCAGTGCCATCAACGGTGCCGGAGGGGCTTGTGGTGTCGGTAGGACCTGTGGTGTCAAGAAGGGGGTCGAGTTAATCTCTGTACCCTGTACCAACTGAACCCCCAGTGCCGGCAACATGCCTGACGCTGATGGTGCCCCCGGTGCTGACCAGGCCACCGGTGTCGCGGCCGCTACCTGTGCCGCCAGGGCCCCTGATGCTGCTGTTACTTGGGCCTGCGTAAATGGGCCGGGCAAGGCTGTGAGTTCTACAAGCTCTCTTAACTGCCTCGAAGGTTTCCGGCGTGGATGGCCTTCCCACTTGTATGGGAACGCCCAGTCCTGGGCTCCTTCCTTGTGAGAAGCTTCCTCCGTGCCTTGGGTGAATTGTCTGGTCCCGGAGGGGAGTTGTCTTATGGGGTGCAGGCGCGGTGACAGCTCCAGTGCCCTTGCTTCCCCAGAGATCTGCCCCGTGGCTGCTTTCTCTTCTTCGGTACCAGGGATTGCGATTGGTGCCGAGGACGTCTTCGGTGCCATAGATCAACTAGGTGCGAGCGGCGCATCGATGCCGGTGCACCCCGCATCGCCACAGCTCCCTCTGGTGCCGCTTGGAGAGCGGACTCCGTAAGCTCTTAGTCCTTGGCTTAAAACTCTTGCAGATTTTGCAGGAGTCAGTGAGGTGGCCCTCCCCCAGACACTTTAGACAAGAATCATGGGGGTCCTCACAGGGCATGGACTTTGAACAGGACTCACAGGGTTTAAACCCCTGTGGTCCTGGCATCACCCTCCCCCTGAGGGGAGAGGATTAACAACTAAGAAGTACCTAACAGCTAACTAACAACTATTTACACAATAAAGGAACAATTAACAATGCTAAGTATCTACACTGGGTCCTATGGACAAACAGATAAGCGCTCCGGCTACCCTCAGGGGCGGTAAGAAGGAATTGAGGGAGGGGAGGGCCGGCAGGTGTACTTATGCACCATTATGTCGACGCCACTCTAGGGGGCTACCTGCTGGCCCGACGGATACCGCTGGGGAAAAAAGGCTCCGGAAGCCATGCATGGGTGCGTGCACACCTAATTCACATGCA